TTAAAAAGCCCAAGCGGGCTAGCTCAGTTGGTTGAGCACGTAAGTGGCACTCAGGAGGTCGTGGGTTCGATTCCCGACGTCGTCCTTTCAATTCCCACGGCCTTCTGGGGGTATACTTCCAGGTTTCACCAGCGGAGATTGTCACTTTGGGCCTCCTGGCTGGTTAGGGACCGTTGTTCCAGCCTACGCCAGGTGTTAGCAGCCTGGGTACTGCTCCCCGCATTGAGCAGAGGGTGGTAGACATAGACCCATAACCGTAGGATAGCTTAGCTTAGGTGAGTGTATTTAAAAGCGGTTCTTGTCTCCAATTATTAGGCATAGAGTAGGTTGTTGGCTACTTTCCCTAGTCCATAGTCTCTTGGCCTGCTATCTGTGCTTGGGGTGTCTGGTGCCCGGTGGTCTCAGGTTGTGGTGCTGGGTTGTGGTGCTGGGTTGCCTTGGGTGGATAGGTCACACACTGAGATGAGCAGTTAGGCAAAAAGTAGGTAGAGTAAGGAAGGTAAGACATTGAGAGAAGAAAATAGGGTAACTAAATACAGCTCTCCCCCATATGAGGAGGACAAGACTATTTGTTAGATTAAAAAATTATATATCGTCAAATAGAACTGCCCGGTAAACCGTAGGCAGAGAGGGAGAAGAGGACAACAAACGAGGGGCTGTGACAAACTGTTTCGTCGGAGTTTCACCGACTCATCAGGAGGCTGAACCCTCAACAGTCTGTAGAATCCCCTCACTGATTACACTGTAAGTGATAATCCACCTTAACCAAAATCAAAGTAGACTATCACTCACCCACACCAGATGGAAAACTCTACAGACTGTAGGTTCACACCCCATCACAAGCCAGCAAAACACCCACGAAACAAAGAAAGGTCTGTCACAGCAGAGAGGGAGAAGAGGACAACAAACGAGGCGCTGTGGCAAACTGTTTCGTCGGAGTTTCACCGACTCATCAGGAGGCTGATATATATCTATATATATTGGCCCGGCCGGGCAAGTGGTCCCGGGCCACCTTGGTAGCGTAGCTAATTGTGATTGCTGAGCTTTCCACCTGAAAGGGGCAGCACTCCTCTTGCATAGTACTGCCGAAAGTGTAGTGGACCTTTCAAATGGCAGCTTTCGAGTGTCAGTACAAGGACGGTCTTGACCTGGGCCCACGTGGGCTATGTTCATGCTAAGCCAGCACAGACCTAACACTTTCAAACCACCAGTCCGATGGAGCCCCCCGTTTTTCTACACTGTCACAAGCTAGGCCATTGTCATTACAATGGTCTTGGCCTGGCCCCACCATCGCTCTGTTCATGTGAAGCCATCAACCGAACACTTTTGAACTGCCAGTCCTAGGGAGTGCCCTCTTTTTTCAACACTGTTACAAGCTAGGCCATTGTCAGGTCCAAGAGGGGGGTGTTACAGTGCAGTGGGTGATGCAGAGTAGGAAGCACAGCGACCCACATACATCCACAAAAAACTGAGTCAAGGATCAACCACAATTTTTCACACAGCCTGCTTGGGCAGGTCCCGAAAAAGAAAAGAAAAAACAGGCTCGGCAAGAACGAAAAAGGAACCCGACTTACAAACCTCCGAGCACTTACACAATCTACTGCAAACAGCTCTTCGTAGAGGAAAAAGGTTCTCCTCACCGCTGTGAAACGAGCATATGAAACCTATGGCAGCGAAAAGAAAAAGAAGATAGAAAAAAATTGAAAAAGAGAATAAAACAAGAGTTGCTTACCAGGCGGATACGGATTTCGGAATACTCTGCCTTCTTCCTTCAAAAAGTGTGCAGAGATCACAGCAAGCAATGCAGAAATGACAGTAAATGCGTCCCAGCTGTATGCATAGCCGTTGTATAGTCCGCCCTTTGTAACCGAAAACCCCGCCATCAAGAACGACCATAAACACGAGGTCCACCACATGTGAAACCACACATTACATCTGGAAGAGCACATTTACCAATCCAACAAAAAATGCATTGTGTAAGTGCAGGGCATGCTAGTATTGGATTCAAACAAACCAAAAGATTCATAACGGTAAATGTGTCCCATATAGTCCGCCCTTTTGTTATCGAAAACCCCGCCATCAAGCACCACCACAGACATGAGGTGGTCTACCACGTGTGAAACCCACACATTACATCTTTCAGACCAGATTTACCAATCAAATAATGCATTGTGACAGTGCCTGCATGCTACTGTTGGATTCAAACAAACCAAGATTCAATGTATGCACATGAATCGCACACAAGTTTTTCAGCCACCGTTTTGGGTGAAGCAGTACCTAATTCACCCAACAGCCAATTACACCATGACACAGGCTCAGACAGGGAGTTGCGCTCTAGGCCGAGTCCTTGCATCACTTCAATTCCTCTGAAGAGTCTGAATATTGCATACCGTGACGGTACACAGACCAGACCAAGAACTAACCTCTCTCACATAGTACAGGATAGCGCAGCGGAAGGCTAAAATACCAATGATCAGACCAATAAGTGCCGCAATGCAGACCAAACATATATCATCATCATCCCATGGTGTGAAGGGGACTGGCGCTCACACAGGAAGAATAAGCCAGTCCCCAACCATGCACAGACGAAGAGGAGGGGGGTTAGACGAAGAAGAGGGGGAAGATGGGAATGTCGTCAACACCAAGTCTTCGGTACAGGTCCCAAATAATCCCTCGTCCAATGTCTCAATGCCAATGTCGAGTCTGAAATTCAAATGTCGTCAAGTCCCAAAGTCACCAATCTCTCTCTCTCTCTCGAAGTCTGCAGGTACTGAGAAGTCAGGTGGCGAGAGGGTGAGGGAGAGATGGTGGACTGAGAGCAGGAAGATGAAGAACTCTCTCTCTCTCTCTTTCTTGTACCAAATACTAGCCTGTGAAGGTGGCGCCTTGTTGCAGGTACATCAAAGGCGAAGCTGGAGCTATGGCGCCACAGGTAAGTCTCCCTGGCCTCCACCCTTCTCTCTCTCTCCCAACGCTACTATACCTCCTAGCAGCGCCCAGCACTGAAGACTACTCTAGTGCTAGCTACTACTACTGCAGCGCTCCTGCAGAGTGCTCCGGCCAACTCCTGAAGACTGCCTCCTGAACGCACGCGAAGTGCCTGTGAACTGCCTGGGAAGTCCCTATGCCTACCTAGAGCCTGCAGGGCGGACCAGTACTATATAGTGCTGGCCCATCCGGGAGGCTGCTCTTGTCAGTGCCGAAACGTGCCAGACCCTGGCGTTGAAGTTCAAACAAAGGTGAACTTGAAACAGGCCCAAAAATGACCTGCACTAAACCCTGGTCTGGCGCCTGAGTTTCAGGGTAGGTCGACTTTATGAGGGCCTGAAAATGGCCCTCTTTTTCAGGCTTTTAGGAAGAAACGACACAGGGCCTGGAGGACCCTTATTTTCCATCTGGTCGGGCCCTGCAGGCCCGTGTGGATGCGCAGTATGCCCCCACCTCCTTGAAAGACCGAGCTCACCTGCGAGGGCGAAGCTGCCTGTCGAAGGGAGGGACGAAAGTCCGGGTGGGAGGGGCCGGTCGTGAAGTTTCCTTAGTTAACCTTTGTCGTTCATAGTGAGCGTACATCAGCGGTCCGGATGCTTGCAAATCTGCTCCTGAAATCCATCGAGTGTCATCAGGATCGCATGCTTTGAAGGTAACTTTGTACTGTCAAGGCTTGTTGCCGTACTTGCAATCCATGATGACGCGATCGACTTCCTGATGACCATCCATAGACGGAGGGTCTTGCGATCGTCGGCCCGGGAAGTCGTCGCTCTTAGCTGGTGTGTATGTCGCCAGCTTCGAGGCGTGAAAGACTGGATGGCCCGGCAGATGCGGAGGGATGTCGATCACAAAGGATGGGCCGTCAGGCTCGTCGCCTGCGGCTGAAAGGACGGTCCATCATCCAAACCACTTGGGAGTAGTTTGCGCGAAACATCCTGTTCGAGCGCAAACTCTTCCGTGGAGACCCAAACCAGATCACCGGCGCAGATGGGACATGGCACGAGTCGCCTGTTGGCTTACGGCTGCATGCGGACTTGAGCCTTTTGCATGTTTGCGCGGGCTTGAGCCATCAATTCCCTGTACTTCCGGATGGAGGCGGGAGAGCAAGTGGCGTCTATGTCAACAGTTCGTGGAAGGAGAAGATCAGCGAATATACGGCCTGTCCGACCACCGTGGTGCAACTCAAATGGAGTCATGCCGATCTCCGGGTGCAACGAAGTGTTGTAGGCGAACTCAATGTCGGGGAGGCGGTCAACCCAATCCTTCTCATCCGGACGAACAAGCGTATGAAACATCATCTGAGCGGCCTGATATGCTCTCTCCGTTTGCCCGTCCGTTTGTGTATGCCGAGCCGAACTTGGTTTCATCTTGGTGCCGGATTCTTGCATGAGAGAAGTCCAGAATGCCGACATAAACGGGTGTCGCGGTCGCTAATGATGTGTTCCGGTACGCCGTGGCTGCAAATCCAGCTGGTGTGCAAAAGGCGCACAAGTTCGGGAGTCGTGGCGTAGTACTTGCAAGGGAGAAATCACGCGTGCTTACTCAATCGGTCAACGACCGTGAGGATGTCGTCGTGCCCGAAGCGGTCGCGAGGAAACGGGCCGGTGACGTCCATGGCAATGGAGAGGCTTGCTTCCCGTGGAATAGGCAACGGGCACAACTCACCGTAGGGATTGCGGTGGAGGGGCTTGCTTCGCCGGCAAATTCCGCAAGAGTCGCAATAACGAGTGACATCGGAAATGAGGTCGGGCCACCGGAATCGTTGTCGAAGTCCTGCGATAGTTCGATTGACTCCAAAATGGCCGGCGAGTCGCGAGTCGTGGTACTCGCCGAGAAGGCAATTCCAAAGACGACGGTCTCGTGGGACGCAGAGCATGTCCTTGCCTCGCGAGTGGAGAAGCAAGTACCCGTTGACGATGCGATAATTGTTGGCCAGCGGGTGATCCGAAGATAGTTGTGCATATAGCGTGGCGAAATCTGGATCGGACTCATAGCCCCGAATGAAGTGTCACTGGAGTTCCTCGTCGAATGCGAAGGCATGATGTGTCATAGCGCAAAGATCGGATCTTTGCAACAGTGCATCCGCTACGCGATTGGAGAGGCCGACAAGATGCTTCGATGTGAAGTCAAATTGGTCGATGAAGTACATCCATCGTCCAATAGTGCTGGTCACCGTATCCTGCGTCTTGTAGTAGGTCAATGGGTTGTTATCAGTGACCCATGTGAACCTACGACGCCCAAGGAGGAAGTTTCGCCATCGCTTGACAGCCATCACAAACACGTGCAACTCTTTCTTCCTTGCATCATCAAGTGAATTGATGGGAGGCACGTTGTGGCTGAAATACTCCACGGGGTGCCAGTCATCGCAGTCATGTTGTTCCAAGACTGCCCCAATGCCATAGCCGGAAGCGTCAGTTGTCACTCTCGTTGGCGAGGTGGGGTCGTAGATGCTAAGGACGGGTGCCATGAGCATGGTCGTCTTTCGTGCTTGGAATGACCGACGCGCTTCGTCGCTAATATCGAATGGCACCTTTGGCGATTGTAGTCTCATCAATGGTGCGGCAATCCTTGAGTACCTGGTGATGAAGCGTTGGTAGTAGCCCGCCAACCCCATGAATGAGCGAACTTTCATGGCGTTGGTGGGTTTGGGCCATACTCGGATGGCCTCGATTTTGTCCGCGAGCGGACGGATGCCTTGCGGCACCACAAAATGGCCCAGGTACTCAAGCTCTTGCCGCGCGAATTCGCATTTGTCGCGGTTGGCTTTGTACTTGGCTTGTCGTAGTCGTTTCAAAACGGTGCGCAGGTGCTCCGCATGCTCATCCGAACTCCGACTGTACACCAAGATATCATCGAGGTAGATGAGTATGAATCTGTCCAGCATGTGTCGAAACTCCGTCGTCACAGCCGCTTGGAACGTGGTCGGGGCATTCGTAAGGCCAAACAACATAACCAGCCATTCGAAATGCCCATATCGCGTCTTGAACGCCGTCTTGTAGTGGTCCTCCTGCAGGATCTCGAGTTGGTGATATCCCGATTTGAGGTCAAGCTTGGAGAAAAATTCAGTGCCGCCCAGCCGTTCAAGAAGGTCGTCAATGCACGGGAGAGGGTCGGCGTTCTAGACGGTTTGCGCGTTGAGCTTGTGATAATAGATGCACAACCGCAAGTCCTTGTTCTTCTTCCGAACGAAAAGAATGGGAGCGCCATGTGGCGAAGAGCTACGCCGAATCCAGGCCTTCTCAAGAAGGTCGTCAAGTTGTGCCCTTAGCATACTTAACTCTTCCTCGCTCATGCGGTAGATGCAACCACGAGGAGGTACAGCCCCGATCTCGAGGATGATCTCGTCGCGGATGGGCCGATCCGATACTACTCCGTGCGGGGCTTCGAACATGTCGCCGTTGGCATCGAGAAACTCGGTGATGCGTGGATTCGTCGATGGGATGTCATGGGGAGAGAGGGTGTGGAGAAAACACACCCATCTCCTCAATGGCGTCCCCGGTGATGGAAGCTTGAATGCTTGTGGCGGACACCACGTGACAGTTGATCGAAGGGTGAGGCGAAGGCACCGTGCATGGTACTAGTACTCCATTCCGATCACGAACGTGAATGGTGCGGCGGTAGAAGTTCTCCGGGTGATCCTTGCTTCGCAGCCATGACATGCCCAAAATTATGTCGAACTGGGTGTCCAAAATGTCGAAGGACACGGCCTCGCTTGCATGCGCGGCGAAGCACACGGGGACAGAATCAATGCACCGGTCGTTTGAGTTGTACGTTTGACCGTTGGCCAACGTGACTTGCGTGGGTTGCGACAACCCCTACTCCGACGTCCATCAACGGGGCCGGTACTGCAGTGTGCAAGTAATCCCGCAATTGTGTCATGAGCACGTTGCAATGCGGTTTCGACAATCGACCAGTTGGGGGAAGGGGCATCCATTGGAAGTCCGCGAACGTCAACGGGTCAAGTTCTTCAAGTCTTGACCATGACGTCGAATCCCCGGCGATAGTTGGTGGCGAAGCTACCGAATCGGTTGTCGAAGGTGGTGAAACGCATGCGGTGGATTGTTGCACGTGGAGTGGTTGGTCCAACGGTGGGACCAAGTGGACAGTGTAATCCTCGTAAGTGAACCGAGGACCATCTGCATTCTCCCCAGATGTGTAGGAGACCGTTAGCAAGGCCGCCGAATCTGGCGGAGTGAGAGGTGGAGTCGCCTCACCTCCCGAGCTGATTCGAGGTCGAACATCCTCCTTGCCTTGATCTTGGCAGTAGGAGGTCTTGTGCTTGGTGTTGTTGCACCAATAGCAGAAGCCACTCCACGTGCAACAATCCACCGCATGCGGTACTTGTACTCGGCCTCGGTCAAGTTGAACTTGACCCATGGTACCGGCTGTCCAATTCCGGCCGGTGATGCGGTTTTCGCCTTCCCTTTTCCACGGGAGTTATTGTTGCTTCGCATCTGGACATCGGCCACCCGATCTCCCTCACGTAATGCTGGGGTGACTGCCGGGTCTTCCATAATGTTGTCCGGTTGGACTGCAACGACGGGCTGCGGACGAGGACCAAATCTTCCTTTCCCCACATGGGCTGGTTGCCACGCTGACTTCTCGTGTGCAGCAGTCCAGTTGGTCTTGATGATCTCACGCGCCTTGTCGATGATTTCGGCGAAGGTCGTGTATTGTTCTCAATCACCGAGTGTGAGGCTCAAGGCGGCACACGACCGGTTGTAGAACTCTCGGTGCAGATGCGAAAATGGTAAGTTGAGATCGGGTGTTGCCACGATCTTTTGCCATTCCGTGAGCCAGTCGCGTGTCGGTGTGTTGCCTTAAGTCATGGCGAAAAGGCGGTTGATGGCGAGCGTCGGAGCGTCGTCAGCGATGAACCGCTTCTTCCATTGTCTCGTCAGATCTTCCCAAAAGATCTTCTTGTGTAGATCGACGACCTAGACGCCGTGGACGGTTGCCAGGTGGCTGAGCCAGATCTGGCATCCGCATGAGGAACAACGCCCCGATGTACAAGTGCTCGGGGACGTGATGAATCCGAAGTTTCGTCGTAAATCCCTGCCTACAGGGGACCGGGTCTTGATGCGTATAATCATTAAACTTTTCGGAATGTCGGCATCTTATACTGCTTCGCACTGGTGTTGCCATCCTTGTCGAGCAGCTGGTGCAGTTGCCGAACCTCGGTCTTCAAGGTGTCCAGCTGCTCGTTGATGGTGGCTGGTGCGGCGAAGGTGCTGATGTCGCCGAGCATTGCAACTACATGGTCAACTCGTTCCTCCAATTGGCGGGTTGAGGCTGCACTGCTAGGTTCGCCAGCATCTGGCCCTGGTGCTGCTTGCTCCAAGTCCTGTACACCCGAATCAAGTGCCCGTGTAGCATCCTCATGCAGACCCTTGTGGTTCCGTACTGCCCGTCGGATATTCACCAACTCGGACTGCAGGTGGTTACAAGTGTAAACCAACCGGGTCATGAGTTTCGAGAGAAATTCCTTGTGCTGCTCTTCCGGTGTCGCATCTTCGTGGCTCTCGGATGGTTGAAAATTCTAGAACTTAGCCTTTCGATGCTGCCGGCTTCGTGCCGCTGCAGCAGATCCTGGGCCTCCTTGCGGCGAGCCTGGGAATCTGCGTCAGCTTCGGCCTGAAGCCGCTGCTTTTCAGCTGTTGCCGCCGCTTCAGCCTGTAGGCGGGCACCCTCGGCTGCCGCCTGGCGTTGTTCCTCAGCCTCGATCAGTGCGAGCTGAGCTTGGAACCGCGCTGTCGGTACTCGGCAATCAACTCGTTGGCCAGTTGGCCTAGCATGCCCCAAAGCTGAAACCGTCATGGTGGCGGGGCACTGCTGACGTTGGTACTGTTGCTGATGTGGCACTGCTGACATGGCACTGCTGTCATGGTACTGCTGACGTGGCACTGCTGCTGTCCTGGCACTGCTGACATGGCACTACTGCTGTCATGGCACTGCTGCTGTCGTGGCACTGCTGACATGGCACTGCTCCTGTCCTGGCACTGATGACGTGTCTCTGCTGACATGGCACTGCTGCTGTCGTGGCACTGCTGACGTGGCGCCAACCAAACCGGGAATGCAAAAAAATGGCTGTGTGGGAGGGAAACGCAGGAAGATAACAAAACTGCACTTGCCATTCCCGGTTCTAATCAACAGAATAAAATAAAAAAATTAAAAAAAATGAAGAGGATCCCCATCCCTTTTTTTTTTTTCTTTTTTTTTTTGAAAATTTGTCGATTTGATATCAGTGAGGCATTACGGAGGAGTACTACGAGCGAGATCTAGGCAAGATTTCGCAAAGTTTCGGCTTTCAAAAAAATGCGATCTTTGAAAAAGAAAAAAAAAAAATTTGCATGAAATATAATGGAAGTTACACTTTCAAAAAAAGAATAGATCCAGTCCGAGAATATGACAACCTCCCTAGTTCACCTAATATGCCCAGAGTGAGAAAAAAAACGAAATGCTAATATCCAAAGTTGAAAAACAGAAAAAATTTGCAGAGATTTGACGAAGCCCTACTTGATTAACTAATAAACACTCAATCAATCAATCAGTCAGTCAAACAAGCAAGCTGGATCCTTGAGAGGTCTGCTCCGATACCAAACTGTTGCATACCGTAACGGTGCAGACCAGAACAAGAACCGACCTCTCTCACATAGTACAGGATAGCGCAGTGGAAGGCTAAAATGCCAATGATCAGACCAAACAATGTCGCAATGCAGACCAAACATACATCATCATCATCGCATGGTGTGAAGGGGCCTGGAGCTCACACAGGAAGAATGCGCCAGTCCCCAACCATTCACAGACGAAGAGGAGGGGGGTTAGACGAAGAAGAGGGGGAAGATGGGAATGTCATCAACACCAAAGTCTTCGGTACAGGTCCCAAATAATCCCTCGTCAAATGTCTGTCGAGTCTGAATCCAAATGTCGTAAAGTCCCAAAGTCACCAATCTCTCTCTCTCTCTCTCTCTCTCTCTCTCTCTCTCTCTCTCTCTCTCTCTCTCTCTCTCTCTCTCTCTCTCTCTCNTCTCTCTCTCTCTCTCTCTCTCTCTCTCTCTCTCTCTCTCTCTCTCTCTCTCTCTCTCTCTCTTAGTCTGCAGATACTGAGAAGTCAGGTGGCGACAGGGTGAGGGAGAGATGGTGGACTGAGGAGGAAGAAGAAGAACTCTCTCTCTCTCTCTTTCTTGTACCAAATACTAACCTGTGAAGGTGGCGCCTTGTTGCAGGTACATCGAAGACGAAGCTGGAGCTATGGCGCCACAGGTAAGTCTCCCTGGCCTCCACCCTTCTCTCTCTCTCCCTACACTACTCTACCTCCTAGAAGCGCCCAGTGCTGAAGACTACTCTAGCACTAGCTACTGCTACTGCAGCGCTCCTGCAGAGTGCTGCGGCCAACTCCTGAAGACTGCCTCCTGAACGCAAGCGAAGTGCCTGTGAACTGCCTGGGAAGTCCCTATGCCTACCTGCAGCCTGCAGGGCGGACCAGTACTACATAGTGCTGGCCCGTCCGGGAGGCTGCTCTTGCCAATGCCGAAACGTGCCAGACCCTGGCATTGAAGTTCAAACAAAGGTTGTCGTGAAACAGGCGCAAAAATGGCCTGCACTAAACCCTGGTCTGGCGCCTGAGTTGCAGGGTAGGTCGACTTTATGAGGGCCTGAAAATGGCCCTCTTTTTCAGGCTTTTAGGCTGAAACGACACAGGGCCTGGAGGGCCCTTGTTTTCCGTCTGGTCGGGCCCTGCAGGCCCGTGTGGATGCGCAGTATGCCACACTGAATTAACCTCCTCCCCTCTTGCCTCAGCACGACCGAAAGGTTATGCTATAGTGTGATTAGGAAAGTGACACTACGGGTGATCTGGAGAGAACGATGCCTTATCACATTGGACTCGACATGGAATTACAGTCAGAAAGTCTGAGCTTTCACCAAAGACCTCAGACAAGCAGAAATTTGGTGCAAATGGAGGCAAACGAGAATCCTGATCCGGCGGAACCCTTGCGAGGAAAGGAGGATTATAGCAAACCATTCAAGGACGGGGCCATATCCGGGCGGAAGGAATGGCACAACTCGGGTAAACAGACTGGGCAATACGCCCTGCACCCTCATGAAGGCAACAACTCAATCTGGGCCTGATGGTGTTGGAGGGGATCTCTACTGCAAGAGAAGTAGCAGTCACCACCATCAGCGTTGGGAGGTCAGCAACAGAGGGAAGCAGGTCCTGACTATACCATCTCAGAGGAATCAGTTAAGGCAGCCAACCTGACAGGTAATCCTACCAGCTATGGAGCACTTAATACTAATCAGGGGCTTGTCAGCCTGAGCGTAAAGAAGCGTGGGTGTGCCGCATGGATGTACAATCCATTACCTGGCCATTGGAGAAGAAACCCGAGGGAGGTATATACTATATATACTATATACTTAAGCAATCGATGCTCTACTGTCTCGGGATCCCATCGGCCATAACAGAGGGAAGCATGGAGTGAGCGACTTGTGTAAGGAATACTTGACTTTTCGGCAAAACCATACAAATGAATAACCTTTTAAAAGAAACATTGAAAACGAAATGCGGCTGTTTCTTCAACAAAACGAAACGGAAGATAGAGAAAGACAAGTGGATCTCAAAATGGTACTGCATGACTTTGTGCCTGACATGAGGAGAAATCTGTGCAACAACACCCACAAGGTTCATACCCACAAAACTGAGCCCCAGTCCAGCACACTCTCAACTACGTGGAATCACAATCTCCATTAGCCCCAGTTGCAGGTGAGGATAAGGCTCCAGAGCCCAAACACACCCCACATATATATATACACTGTAACATACTGATGAACCAAGATCATTTTTGGTGATCACTGAAAGGAAGCCGAGTAAGGTAGCAGAAAGGAAGGCTCCACACCACCCTACAAGTTGAAGACAACGAGCACATTGTGTGTGAGGCTCGTGTGCAAGTACAAACTGCAGTAACCTCACGGTCACTCCAGCATCGCTCTTCTGCCTCGTCCACTCGGGCTATGGAATAAGATCTAGCACTGCCATATATAGTCCTGATGCCAGCTGCACTCCTCTTTCCATCTCCTCAGTCAAGTGTCACGTCCCATCAGCAATGATCACCAACATCCACTTCGATTCTCCGTTTTCATGCTGACCACCAGCATCAATTGACCCATCGACCTCACTACTTGGAACCACATCCCGACTGTCAGATCCAATTCCAGCGTTCTTTGCAGATCTCCCATCAACGTATTCCTTCGCTGTCCGCATGAACAACTCCCAATCCAAAATGTCATCATTCCAACGGCCAAAAGTACCCTAAATGCTGTCAGTCGATTACCTGTATTCGCCAGAACCACGTATCAAACCAACTGTCTCTCATATCATTCCGTTCCTCCTGATGGGGTACGGACCATTTTCTCGTGTCGGGCTTGCTGAATGTAGATGTAGGGTCCATGGAAACCAGGTCTTAGAAATGCGCCCTTTTTGCAGACAGTGCCTAAACCAGGGAACATCGGAGAGCTAGCGGCCTTTATTAATACGAACGTGAGCTTAATCTAGGTTAGATGAGGAGGTGGTGATCAACGATGATCAAAGGATGGAGGATGATAAGGGATGAGAGACAAGTGGCCTGGGACGTTGGAATGAAGGGAAGGTCGAGGGAGCACGGGTATTTAACCCATTAGCCAGACTAGATCTTTGCCTACGTGGACGAGGCAGAAGGGCGGTGCTGGATTGCGTATGCGCACTCCGGTGATTTTGTATTAGCGCATTATGTCCTCCACGAGAGTAAAGCCTCACATTTTGTGCTACATCATATGATTGTAAACACCATTTCTTTTTCCCAAATCATTACCTCACCAATACTCACTCCAAAGGAGCGTTTGCCCAACTGTTTAATACACGACTTCCAGTCAGCAATCTGCATTTGTCCTTACAATGCCATTCAGACAATTCCTGATTGCTTGAGTGATACCCCTAGCGATCACACTCCTAGTGATCACACACAGATTGTCATCACCTTGATGGTATGGTACATCCTTTGCATTAGCAAGTTAAGGTTGTCAGTAGCACCTGAGAGACGGAAGGACATGTGGGTATCAAGTTTCCGTAGGTCGCGCACAGCACATAGCCAAGCCGATTTTTCAATCACCACTTTTCTATGGTTATCTAGTATGTCGGCGAGAGTCTGCGACTTTGCAAACATAACCTAGGCACATTTTGTCTTCCGAAGGCCATCGCAAGTGGGCCGTGGTGCACATTCTGCAAGATCGTATGCTTAAGTAATACCTGACCCGTGTAATATCAATATCAGTAGCGAACGGGATTCTCAGATAAACCTTCGTCTTATATTATTGACATGCAGAAGGCAACACACAACATGCAACCTCCCAGAATACCCCGACTCTTTTAAGAAATAGTAGTCCACATGCCCAGGTATA